GTTAATGAACTAATTGATTATTTGACAGTCACTAAAATAATTTTATGTAATTAAACTTAGTTGATTGAAAGTTAATTTTTTTAACTTTTTATTTTATATTAGGGTATAGCTGATTAACAATGTTGTGATAGTTTCAGGAGGACAGCGAAGGGACTCAGCCACCCATGTGAATGTATTCATTCTCCATCACATTCCCCTCCCATCTGCCACTTAACACTGAGCAGAATTCTCTGTGCTACAGTAGGTCCTTGATTATCCATTTTAAAAATAGCAGTGTGTTTATGTCCACCCCAAACTCCCTAACTATCCCTTCCTCCCCAGCAACCGTAAGTTTATTCTCTAAGTCCATGAGTCTCTTTCTGATTTGTGAGTAAGAAAGGTTAATATTTTAAGACAAAAATACTGACATTAAATGTTTTCCATTTGGTCCAAGGTGATCTTATCTAATTCTCCAGACTTTTGCTCAGACGTCACTTAAGTCTGATACACTATGGATGGAAGTGGTTTATTAGGACATGAAAAAGGAAGCATGACATTCTGGGACACAGCTTGAAGTGGGTTTCACACGAGGAGGATCAAGTTTGGGGAAAAGGAGGAAGTGCTGGACTCAGTGGGAGTGCGATGGAAGAAAATGTGGGATTGGATTGTGTGGACATTGAGCCCCGAGTGAAAATCGTTCTCTTAATGCTTTCAATGTCCTGGGACATATTATGAGGAGGAGGGTGGGGAAGGAAACCCATTATGCATAAATGCATCATAAAAAACAGATAACTTCGGTAGAATTGTTTTCATTACAGACTAATTCAGCAGGGTTCCTTTAAAAACCATCTCTCCTACTGCATTTAAGGGTGTTATTTACAGATGATTAGCTATGTGGCTAGGCAGAAGGACAATTTAAGCCTAAAACATCCAAGGCCAGCTGAAGATCCATAGAAAAAAGTACAAACTTGGGTGTAATCCTGGAAGTCCATAAACACACAGCATCCCATTGATAAAAGTGCAGTTTACACACACCTTGCTTCAAGAGCACAGTTGTTAGATAAAAATGAGAAACACATGCATTTTCAAGTTGAAACACTGGTGTAGCCTAAAAAAAAAAATTGCTGAGACCTAAGGGAGCCTCAGCTTTGGGGAAGAAGGCTGGATTCTTAGAGAAAGGCAGGCCACACTGTTCAGACCTCCAAGACGAGGCCCCTGACTCTCAGCCCTGCGGATGTCAGACCTGGAGTCAGGAAAAGAATCTTAGATGATGGTGCTTGGGTCCCCAGACTGTGTGTATATACCTGTGAGAATGAACTCTTAGTTTCTGGCTGAATTATTTATAGAAGATAGGATGTGACTTTGTAACTAGAATGGACACCTTGATCTGGAAAAGAATATATAAATGAATGATTCAAAGAAGTCAGTTAACTGCAAACAGTCCAGCTTCAAAAGGCACTGTTGATTCTGAGAAGTAGGAACAGAAAGGAAACCTCAGCAACATGTCTTAGGGAGGGATGGAACGTCTTTATATACTCAGAACCACTGCCTCAAGATGGAAACTTGGAACTCAAGTGGAAAAGGAGGAGTCTCAGGGTTGGCTGTCCTTGCAAAGTACCAACCGAAACAAACAAACAAACAATTGAGCTTGTTGATCTGAATACCTTCGCTGAAGGAATTGACAAGTGAAGATGCTTAATGCAAGAAACTAGTTTTTGTTTGGCTTTGTTAAAGGGTTGTAGGATTAGCTGGGCTTCCCAGGTGGCTCAGTGGTAAAGAATCCACCTGTCAATGCAGGAGACATGGGTTTGATCCCTGGTCAGGAAGATCTGCTGGAGGAGGAAATGGCAACCTGTTCCAGTATTCTTGCCTGGAGAATCCCGTGGATGGAGGAGCCTGGTGGGCTACAGTCCCTGGGGTCACAAAGAATCAGACACAAGGGAGCGACTGAGCCTGCATGCAGTAGGATTAGCTATTTATTAATTGTTTTTTTTTAAATGATTATATACTAGGTATATGCAAGGACATTTATTTTCTTTAATATTTTTGAAAAATTGCTATCAATATAAGTACCCAACAATGCAGTGGGTGGATACATTAAAATATAATATCATTAAACAATAGATTATTATGAGGCCATTAACATATTTTCATAAAGTGCATATGACATGATAATAAGTGAAGATAATAGGATGAAAAATGTGTAGGTAATATGACGGATCATGCAATTTAAAAATGAAGGGTCTTGGACACACATGATGCAGTTTCTATAATTATTATAAATATTTTACTTTGAAACTCCAGGGGGAAAAAAGTCTCATTAAAATCAGTGACATGATATTTCCATTTTGTACTTTCAATAATAAAACTGGCCATTTAGATGAGAGATCAGCACACTTTTTTGTCAAGAGCCAGGCGGTCACTATTTTAGGCTTTTGTGGGACACCTATGTCTATCATCATATGGGCTCCCCAGGTGGTACTAGTGGTAAAGAATCCTCCTGCCAATGCAGGAGACAAAAGAGACGGGGGTTTGATCCCTGGGTCAGGAATAAACCCGTGGAGGAGGGCATGGCAACCCACTCCAGTATTCTTGCCTGGAGAATCCCATGGACAGAGGAGCCTGGCAGGTTACAGTTCATAGCGTTGCAGAGAGTCGGACACAACTGAGCTATCCTTTGTTTTTATGTCTGTCATATATTATTTTTTGTTTTTGTTTATTTTTTTAGTCCTTTGAAAAATCTAATAAGTCATTCTTGGTTTACCAGCATTACAAAAACAGCACGGGGGTTGGATTTGACCTTGAGGGTGTGGTTTGCTGATCTCCAATTTAGATGATTTTATGTCTAAATCATCTTTGCTACCTATTTATTAATTTGGAGAATTTGTGACATATTTTCATGTTTGACATTTATGACACACATTTTCCCCAAGTCACTTTAGAAGAGCTATACCAATTCAAACTAGACCTTTCTTGGAATTAATTTGTTTGTTTGTTTGTTTTTCATTTCTACAAAGGAAAGTGAAATATACATATTACATAGAGAGCCACATTACCCAAAATGGTAGCTGTCAACCCATGGGCTAGAGTAACATTAATTAAAATTTAATGAAATTTAAAATTCCATGCCTTGGTCCCACCCACACCATGTACTGAATCATGCAGATATAGAACACTTCATTTTAGACAGTTCTATAGGACAACAACATTAGAGAAAACCGCAAATAATATACCGTATCTTATGGTGAGTTTTGGGTCACCCTCTTTCTTACTGAAAATAAAATGTATACAGAAGGAGAAATAGGTTCCATGGGAAGATGATAAGATTTAGCATCAAATGGAGCCAGAAAAACAGACAATGGTTGAAAAATCTCCCCAAGTTCAAAAAAACGCATCTACCATATCCTGGCTGTGTGATATCCTGGCTGTGTGATCCTGGGCAAATCACTCCACTTCTCATTGCCCTCCACCTCCTCAGCTGAAAGGCAAACAGGGTAATACCTACCTGGTGCAGACTCTGAGGATTAAACAAGGCGGAGCCTGTGAAAATGTGCAGTAGCTTTGTAGTTCTAGGAGATACATGCAATTTACACTGGCAATGGGGCAATATTCATAAATTCAGGAAGAAACCATTTCTTGCAGATATGGTTAGATTTGGGCTTCTCAGGGAACACAGAAAAATACCTTTCATTTAAGGAGTGTCAAAGCTTCTACTGAAGATTACACTCTGCTTGGGAGAAACAACTGGGGTGCCCCCACGACCTGATGCCTTCAGGGACCCCCGGGTTTGGCTTCCTGGGGACTGTTTCTAACCTTTGCCCCGACAGCGAAGAGTTTGGTTTGTCTTAGCTTTTGGGAATTGAGATGCTTGACCTTGGTACCTGGTAAAGATTCCCCGACAGCGAAGAGTTTGGTTTGTCTTAGCTTTTGGGAATTGAGATGCTTGACCTTGGTACCTGGTAAAGATTCCCCTCAGTCTCTCATCCTTCTAATTACCCTGAGCTGTTGCCTCTGACCCCCACCTGTCCCTTCCTCTAGCTGATCTCAGAAGCAGCCTACCTCCCCTCTGGCCCCCAGACTCACTCTTGCCCATCTATCCTGGTGGGGACCCATCGGGAAGTTATGGAGATTCCATCGGGTGTAGACACATTGTATGAAAGAGACGGGAAGGTCTTTCTTGGCTGTGCCAAGGGACTGTGAGGAGGGGCCAACCAGCTGGAGAACCACGGTGGACTCAGAGAGACCCTGAATTCTTCAACCTGCTCTGGGAATTGGGGTGGGAGTGGGGCACATCTCCTCCCTAGAGGACCCATCCCTGGCAGAGGAATCCTTGGTCTTTCCTTGCCAGCACTGTGACCTCTTCTTCCACATTTATTTTTTGGTCTCCTCCTTCTAGGAATTCGTGGCTATAATCATATCTATTAAAGTGCTTTGAAACTATTATTCCCTCCACCACCTCCCCTCCCCAGTTAAATGGGGGAGAACCACATGTTCCTCTCATTTCCTCCTCTTCAATGGAATCACAAAGGATAACACAGCCTTGCAAACAAGTCTCCGGCCACAGGCCAGTGATATTTCCCACCATGAGAACACCGTGCCAAAAGCAACAACCAAGCACCTTTTGCGAGGCTGGGCTGCCACTTGGATGGCCTGCATATCTGATGTCAGTTATTTTCATATACATTTGCAAAGCTGTGATAGAAGGCAGGCAACCAGCTATGCCGTCCCTCCCACCCCCCCTGCCCCCAACCCAAAGCCCCGCATCCCATCCATTGGCCCCCGTCCTGACAAGGGTCTAACAAAGAATGGCTGGGGCAAGGATTCGGGGGTAATGAGCAGAGGGGGTAGATGCTAAGGCAACAGGGAAAAATGAAGACATGCTTGTGAGGATCAGCTTCACCTTGCAGAAAGCCACAAGGGAGGGTGGTGCGGAGGGAGGGGGAGAGAACTTACATGGGAGGGAAGGTGATCAGACTCAGATTTATATCACAAAACAAAAAGAGCCACACAGATGGGCTTACTTGCGGAAGTATATACAAGTGAACTGGGGGCACTGTACATGGAAGATCCCTCCTGGTTTGCCTGGCACAACAGCACGGTGCCTACGGGAGAGAGAGAGAGAGACGGTGTCTGGTCTGGGAACAGGCACGCTCGCTACACCTGGGAGCCATGGCAACACACACGAGAAAGGCAGAGAAATGCAAACACAGCCACACCCCCGAGCGCAGGATGGGGACACCCAGGGAAGCCCCCTGCCTTAGTCAGAGGGGGTTGGAAGGAACCCACCACCCAGCCCATCACATGCTTGGCTTTTCTGTTTCACATGGAGTTTGCTAGTGGAGCCTGGTTTCAGATCAGGTATGGAGGCAGCATGGCATACTCAAAAGGGAGCTTTAGAAATATCGGAGATGGGACTTCCCTGGTAGTCCAGTGGTTAGGACTTTGCCCTCTAGTGCAGGGGGTATGGGTTCGATCCCTGGTCAGGGAGTTAAGATCCCACACGGCTCAGGGCCAAAAAAATCCAAAACATAAACAACAGAAGCAATATTTCAACAAATTCAATAGAGACTTTAGAAATGGTCCACATCCAAAAAAAAAGGAATGAAATATTGGAGAGATGTGGACAACAAGCTTGATGCAGATATTAATTAGCTGTGTGATCTCAGTAAGTCACTGTAACTCTCTGTGCCTCAGGATTCCCATCTGGAAAATGAGGGTGAATATACCTACCTCCAGGAAGGGTTATGAATTGTTTGTACTACTGGAGATGTGCTCAACTGAATAAGTGGTAAGCACATGCTCGATTTATTTAAAGAAAATTTTTCCTCTTCCCCCCATTTTAGTTTTTTCTGAATCAGTTCTTCAGAGGAAAGGAAGTAAGGCAGGGGAAGAAAATAAATGAAAGTTGGCCATCCCTGGGACCCACCCTGGACCCACACCGGACTCGGGGTGAAACCACCTTTGGCTTCTGCATTTCCGGTTTCTTCCCTAAAGCTCTGTGCCTTCCAGTGTCTGAGGCGGACACTTCCTAAGCCTGCGGACCATGGCGCGCTGCAGTGATGCCTCTCCTACCCCTGATCTACAGCAAAGGATGCTGGGATTATCCTTGCAAAGTGGAATTTTACAGCGGGGACAAGCAGTGGCATCCTACAGTATCTTCTCAATCTACAACTTCCTGTGGAAGGACCACCTGCTCCAAGGATGGCCAGGGTGAGGAATCTTTAGGGTTATCGGTCCTGCAATCCTGTGGCTGTGAAGCTCAAACTCAGAGATCCTGAGAAGAATGACAGGGACTTTTGAGGACCTGTAAGCCCCTTGCTAATGATGGATAAGGGCTCCTGTGGTTTCTGTTCCCTTCCTTGGCTGGGCAAGGTCAGTTGCCTCTACTTGTTCTTTTTTCCTGTCATCCTTGCCACTGGGAAGCCATCTGTCAGGAGAAGCAGCCCTGACTTCCCATCAACTCACCTATATCCTTGGAGACCTGCCCTAGGAAGGGCTTCCGGAATCCTTTGTTGTCTTTCCCAACGTCAATGAAAGGGAGTTAGAACCTCTAGACTGAGTGGTGTGTGTGCGCGTGCGTGCTCAGCCGTGGCCGACTCTTTTAGACCCCATGGACTGTAGCCCGCCAGGCTCCGCTGTTCATGGGATTCCCCAGGCAAGAATACTGGAGTGGGTTGCCATGTCCTCCTCCTTTGGTGCCGAGGTTTCCAAAGAAAAATAATATAACCATAGCAAAAACATATCCAGAAGGGCATTTCAGTACCATGCAGTTAAGGACTTAGGGACAGTTTTCAACACTGAGCTCTGTGACAGAGCAAAGCCCTCTGGGACACCACACAGATTCTCTCTGGAAGGCTAAATTCTGGAAGTGCATAATGATGTCTTCCTCATTTTCTTATGCTGTGGATCCTTAGAAAAAGACAGAAATAACTCTGGATGTTCTCTTTGTAGCAAAAAAAAAAAAAAAATCTTTATGCGATGATTTTGACCTTTGTAAAACAAAATCCATACTGTCACAGGACTTGGCTTTTATTTTATATGAAAACATTCTCCAATTTAATTTGCAAAGTATTTATTGTAGGTTCTCTTAGTACTTTGTGACCTTTCCTTACAAGAAAGTTTTGAAGTAAAAAAAACCAAAGGAGCATAGAAGAACACTGTCACCTCTGTGTGTTTTTTAGGTGCGGGCAGCTAACATGTGTTTATCTAAAAAGTCAGATAACAGGGTACAAACCGCAGTAAAGAGCGTGTACCATATGTATACCTATGACTGATTCATGTTGATGTATGGTAGAAGTCAACATAATATTGTAAAGCAATTATCCTTCAATAAAAATATGTTTTTCTCAAAAAAAGAGTGTTTATAAGGTCATCAGGCAGTTTGAATAAACTATATGGGAAGAGAATCTAAAAACAGTGGATGTATGTATGTATATAACTGAATCACTTTGTGTACAGCAGAAAGCAACACAATGATATAAATCAACTATACTACAATAAAAGTGTTTTTTTTAAGGCACTTTGTGATACAGCGTTGATTGAGTTTTCTAACGAGTCTCTCGAACAGAGTCTCTGATCTGCCCCTGCCATCACCCCCAAATACAGACCCACCACCTCCAACTACCAAGAACTGTCTAGTTATTATGCTGATATTGGTATTTGTGATACAGCGTTGATTGAGTTTTCTAACGAGTCTCTCGAACAGAGTCTCTGATCTGCCCCTGCCATCACCCCCAAATACAGACCCACCACCTCCAACTACCAAGAACTGTCTAGTTATTATGCTGATATTGGTATTTCTCAGACTTCTATGCCTCTGTTTATAAATTCCTTAGAATTTAAGGATGGCAGGTATGTTCCATTTATACCAGTATCTACCCATTCCATTATCCATCCATTCCAGTATCCATCCACCCATCAGCCAGGAGAAACCTTTTGTCAAATTTCAACAGTATCTTTTTCAATTAGCCTGGGATCCTCTGGGTCATTCTTAATAGTTTCCAGGCAGTTACTACCACTCGGTCAGCCTCGGCAGATGGGACAAAACCTCTCTTCTATTCCTGCTCTTGTTGTTTAGTGAGTAAGTCATGTCCAACTCTCTGAGACCCTGTGGACTGTAAGCTGATGGACTCCTCTGTCCGTGGGATTTCCCAGGCAAGAATACTGGAGTGGTCGTCACTTCCTCCTCCAGGGGATTTAGGTTAAACCATATGAAATTGACTTTTCTTATGTCAAAGATGGTTGAACATTGGCAATTACATGTGGTTCAATTAAAGAAAAAACAAAAAAGGCTGTCCTCCACCTCGACCCTTCTGCATTGTTTAAAAGTCATCTCTTCTCTTCCCAGTCCCCAGGGGTTAATTAATTACTCCATCTTCAATGCTCCTATCACACTTAAAAATCTCCCTAGTAGATCCTTTGATATGCCGTATTACAACTTTTTATTTACATATTGGTCTCAGCTGCAGATAATTCCCCTGGATCAGAGCCAAATCATACTCATCCTTTTATCCCCGTGCGTGCATGTTAAGTCATTTCAATCATGTCCGACTCTTTTGGACCCCATGGACTGTAGCCCGCCAGGCTCCTCTGTCCATGGGATTCTCCAGGCAAGAATACTGGAGTGGATTGCCATGCCCACCAAAGTACCTGGTTCTCAGAGGGATTCATGTATGTTTAAATGATTATGTTTTTAAAGACTTCCTCATTTCTATTTTCTTTGATAAAAACGATGCTTTTCCCAGCCAACCCTTCCGTCCCTTGTTGATAGCTGGGGGTTTGCATGCCTTCAGGTCTTACTCATATTCTCTTTTCTGGTTCTTTGACGGTTGACTCATCCTGTTTAAGAGAAACCTGGGCAGCCTGCTCATCCGTTTCCTGCAATGCTGATGACTCTATCTACAACTGGCAGGGACCGGGCTCAGTGTGACAGACTGTGATCTTGGGATCACTGGAGCCGTTGGCAAAGCCTGTCACTTGATACGCAGAGAGCCACAACCACCAGCATCCCAACATCCGGCAAGATGTACATCCCCTGGGCCACTCTCAGGCAGGATTTGGCATCTCCCACAGGGGCCGGTGAGCCAGGATCCAGACCTCAGATGGGGCAGCTCAATTCTCCTTCTCACCTGGAGATTCCCCACTGTACAGAGGACCATTTCTGGCCCTTGGGAGGGCAAGAAGAAGCCCAGCGGGAGTGTCTCCTAGCACAGACAGGAAGGAGAAAGTGTCTACATTTTTTTATTTTTCTCTCTGCTGCCAACCCTTAGGTGATGAAATTGGATGCAAGTCAACTGGAACAAGGGTGCAGTTTCACACCTCCAGGTCATCACACAGGCTGGTCCTTCTCCCAGGAAGTTTCCCTTCCCTGAGGTAACTCCCCTCCCTTCCCACTCACTTCTCCTCCTCCTAGAAACTGGATCTATTTGTCTCCATCTGGCAGGTGGTAAAGAACTCGCCTGCCAAGCAGGAGATGTGGGTTCAATCACTGGGTCAGGAAGGTCCCCTGGAGAAGGAAATGGCAACCCGCTGCAGTATTCTTGCCTGGAGAATCCCATGGACCGAGGAGCCTGGCGGGCTACAGTCCATGGGGTCACAGAGAGTCAGACACAGCTGAGTGAGTGAACAACCATCAGCAGCCCAGCAGAGGAATCCAAGGCTCTGCAGATGAGCTCAGAGTGAACCAGGCCCTAGGTCATCTCCATATATTTATAAACAAAACGAAAATGGTTACGTATCTTTGGTCTGAATACTTCTGTGGCAAAGAGGCCAGAATTGATTTACTTTTCATCTCGACCCTATTGTCCGTTGACCAATTTTGTCTTTGCTCAGGAGCATTTCAACATCAAAGTGTACCTCGCTTCTAGTCTGAGCTAGTCCTGTCAAGTTCTGCGGAGGCTGGCTGCGGAAGAAGGCACGCAGTCATCAATTACACAATCCTAGAGAGGTCACCCTTGGTTTCTCATCCAGGAAAAAGACACATACACTCTTTGTTCTGCTGTAATGGACTGACTGGTGGTCTCTCAAAATTCATACATGGAAGTCCTACACCTAGTAGCTCAGGAGACGAGTGTGTGTGGAGAAAGCATCTTTAAAGAGGTGA